CACCTGGCTATTTTTTTGTTGTAGTTGTCGTTGTTTGGCAGGCCTGGGCTAGGTTTGAACCCGCCAGCTCCAATGTATGTAGCTGGCGCCATAGCCGCTGAGCTACAGGCGCCAAGCCAGCACATTGTTAATAATTGTGAATTAAATAAATAAGGAGTCAAAAGGTTTTAGTGTTGCTTTTAGGACTGAATGCAGAAGAAAGTAAGGAAAGTAGGAGTAAGAATGAGGAGAGAGGGTGGGGTGAACATCTAGCTGTGAGCTAGGACTGGAGAATTGGACCAGAGAGGAACATGCTGTTCCTGGTCAGTGGTAGGGACAAGGTAGGGCTTGGAGGGAGTGCATACCTCAGGTTGAGGTACTGCAGTGAATACATTTTCTCGGAGAAGCCACTCAGAGTTTCAATCTGGTTGTCTCGAAGATGCAAAGTGGTGAGACCGGTCAGTTCCTCCAAGCCTTCCACCTTCTTCAGCAAGTTCTGGGCCTGAACCCAAGATAGTAGATTGATTGAGAGAGGGGATCAGGGACAGGAAAGGAAGAGAAGTCAGAAAGAAATGAAGCAAAAGAGGAAATCAAAGAGGTAGAGAGGGAGGGGTGGAGAAGGGGAATGAGGTAAGTAGAGATGCATACAGCAGGAGTGGTCCAACCTTTTTCTTCTCTGCTCCACATTGGTAAAATAAGAGTTGTCTTGGGTCATGCACTAAATACACAAACACTAATGAAAACTGAAGAGCAAAAGAAACCGAAACAAGATCCATGCATACTTTTTGCAATATCTGACACCACAGCTAAGCAAAACAGTCCTCAAATAATCAGGATGTGGTCTCCAAGCTGTAGATGGACACCCCAGAAATAGAGGGTAAAGAAGTCCAGGAGATGCTACCATCCCAAAGAAAAATTAATAGTGACCCCCTGCTGCTTCAACCCACCCCCAGGCCCCAGGAGCCCCTCTCCTCCACTGACAAGTGCAATCAGCACCATCTTGGAATGATGATGTTCAAATATCCAAAAACTAAATATTTTAGTGGCCTCTTAGTTTGATGTCTGTACCTCAACTACAGCACATTCTGCTGCTACTTGTATCTAAGTGAATTGTCTCTGTATTATCTACACACTACGTATTATCAGCCCTGGTAGGTGGTAAGCACTGTATCTATTTAACTTGGCATCTCCACAGCATCTGACACCAAGTAAGGGCTCAATAAATGATACCAGTTGTCATTATGATGGCGAAGAATTGGCAGAGGTGCTAAAGCAAAGGGCAATACAGAGATGGCTATAATGGGGAGAAGAATGGGTAACAGGAGGGATGAGGAAGGGGAAGAGAAGGTAGATGGGTCATTAACCATGGGCAGAGACCTTGTGTTTGTGAAGGGCAGAAAACCCACGCTCTGAAGGACAAGTGAAGGCTCATCTCTCTTTTTTTCTTTTTTTTGAGACGGAGCCTCAAGCTATCCCCCTGGGTAGAGTGCCATGGCATCACGCTCACAGCAACCTCCAACTCCTGGGCTCAAGCGAGTCTCCTGCCTCAGCCTCCCAAGTAGCTGGGACTACAGGCGCCCACCACAACGCCTGGCCATTTTATGGTTGCAGCCATCATTGTTGTTTGGCAGGCCCGGGCTGGGGATTCGAACCTGCCACCTTAGGTGTATGTGGCTGGCGCCTTAGCCACTTGAGCCACAGGTGCCGAGCCGGGCTCATCTCTTGGTAGCTGAGCCTACTAGAAACCAGGCATACTGACCCCAGGGTAATGCCCTCTTCCCTGCACCACCCTATGACCTAGTGAGCTACCAGGTAGAGGTTCTTCAGCTTAGGGAGGTTGATTCCCACGGTGCTTTCCAGCTGGTTCCCCCGAAGCTCCAATGTATGCAGGCTGATCAGCTTCTGGGGATCAAGACCTGTCACATGGTGGATGCGGTTCCCTGGGGAGAAGGAGTGTGCCAAGAGCTCAAAGGGACACTTTATTTATTTATTTATTTATTTATTTATTTATTTTTGAGACAGTCTCATTATGTCGCCCTCAGTAAAGTTCTATAGTGTCACAGCTTAACCTCACTCTTGGGCTTAAGCAATTATCTTGTCTCAGTCTCCCATAGTAGCTGGGACTATAGGCACACACCACAAAGCCCGGCTATTTTGTTGTTGTTGTTGTTGCTGCTGCTGCTGCTACTGCTGTTTAGCAGGCCTGGGCTGGATTTGAACCTGCCAACCCCAGTGTATGTGGCTGGCAGTCTAACTGCTGAGCTTTAGGCGCCAAGCCCAAAGGGCCACTAAGTGTTCAGCATTATAGCCTGAATTTTGAGAACCTCTGAATCATCCTCTCTCCATAATGTAGGGTAGATAGTGAGGAAGGAGAGCTCCAGAATTCTCGCCATCAGGGCCCTGGAGCAAATGGTCTGCTAGTCCAAGGACCTCATGGACATGTCTCCCTAAGCCTTTAAGGAGTGAATGAAGAGTGCCCAAGAAATCTACATATCTAACTCCCTCCCTGTTCTCCTTCAAGTTTTTGCTCAAATGTAATCTTACTGATGCTTGTCCTAACCAACCTATTTGAAATAGCCACCTGTGTCCCCCATTCCCCTTACCCTGTTCTACTCTTTCAAAATACTTACTCCCTTTTAACATACTATATAATTTACTTACTTATTATGTTCATTGTGAATTGTATATCTTCCCCAGCTAGAATGTAAACTACAAGAAAACAGGCATTTTCGGCTCGGCACCTGTGGCTCAAGCGGCTAAGGCGCCAGCCACATTCACCTAAGGTGGCGGGTTCGAATCCCCGGCCCGGGCCCGCCAGGCAACAATGATGGCTGCAACCAAAAAAAAAAAAAAAAATGGCCAGGCGTTGTGGCAGGCGCCTGTAGTCCCAGCTACTTGGGAGGCTAAGGCAGGAGACTTGCTTGAGCCCAGGAGTTGGAGGTTGCTGTGAGCGTGATGCCATGCCACTCTACCCAGGGGGATAGCTTGAGGCTCTGTCTCAAAAAAAAAAAAAAGAAAACAGGCATTTTCTTTGTTTTGATTATTGCCGTATCTCCAGCATGTAGAACTGTCCAAATGAATGTCAAAATCAATCATAATAACTATCTGAATTAAAGAATGAACACAGATTGCTGTGTGCCACAGCCAAGGAGCACACTGTCTTTTTCTTTTTTTGAGACAGAGTCTCACTATGTCCCCCTCAGTAGAGTACCATGGCATCACAGTTCACAGCAACCTCAAACTCTTGGGCTTAAGCAATTCTCCTGTCTCAGCTTCCCAAGTAGCTGAGACCACAGGCGCCTGCCACATGCTTTTCATTGCAGTTGTCATTGTTGTTTAGCAGGCCTGGGCCAGGTTTGAACTCACCAGCCTGGGTGTATGTGGCCAGCACCCTTCCCACTGAGCTATGGGCCCTGCCCACACACTGTCCACTTTTGTTGGCCCCAGGCTAGGAATAAATGAACTTTATGTAGCCCATAACAATGACCTTTTTTTTTTAATTCTTTGGACACAAGAGTTTTGCTCTGTCACCCAGGCTAGAGTGCAATAGTATCATCACAGCTCACTGCAACCTCAAACTCATAGGCCCAAATTATCCTCCTGCCTCAGCCTCCTGAGTAGCTGGAACCATGGGTGTACACTACCACCCTTGATTAATTTTTCTTTTTTTTTTTTTTGAGGCAGAGCCTCAAACTGTCACCCTGGGTAGAGTGCCATGGCTTCACTGCTCACAGCAACCTCCAACTCCTGGGCTCAAGCGAGTCTCCTGCCTCAGCCTCCCAAGTAGCTGGGACCACAGGCACCCGCCACAACGCCCGGCTATTTTTTGGTTGCGGCCATTATTGTTGTTTGGCAGGTCCGGGCTGGATTCGAACCCGCCACCTTAGGTGTATGTGGCTGGCGCCTTAGCTGCTTGAGCCACAGGCGCCGAGCCGATTAATTTTTCTATTTTTTGCTCAGGCTGGTCTTGAACTCCTGGCCCTGTGTGATCTTCCTCCCTCAGCCTCCCAGAGGTGACGTGAGCCACCACACCTGGCCCCAAGAACCCACCTTTAAGATCCAGGCTTCCCAGACGAGGATGAAAAATGCCCTCAGTGTCAGTGATCTGGTTATAGGCAAAACTGGCAATCTGCAAGTAAGGCAGTTCATTCAACCGGGCAGTCCGCAGCCGATTGCCATCAGCCTTCAGCCAGAGCAGGTGGGTTAGGCCATTAAGTGGAGACAGGTCTGTCAAGTGGTTCTCAGAAACATCCACATAGCGCAGATGGATGTAGGAGCGCAGCAAGGAGATGTCTGTCAGGTCCCTAGGAGATGGCAGAGGAAAGAAGAACCAGGGTTAGGGCTAAGAACCCAGCAAGAACTAGAGAGGTGCTAAAGCAAAGGGCAACACAGAGATGGCTTATAATGGGGAGAAAAATGGGTACAGTTGGGAGGGTTGAAGAAGGAGAAGAGAAGGTAGATGGGTCATTAACAGTGGGAAGAGACCTTGTATTTGTGAAGGGAAGAAAACCCACACTCTGAAGGACAAGTGAAAGAATCCAGCAAGAATCCTCCCCAGTACTCTATCTCCAGTTCTTCGGGTCAGCTCTGACACGGGGAGCCTTAGAGCTCCTGGAAAATAAATCATACCCTTCCCTTCCCACGGGGATGAGAGTGCTCCAAACTGTCAGATAAAATTCCCAAGAATGAGCATAGGAAAGGAGATGGGGTCCCAGAATCTTGAAGTCTTCATCTGATCCCCGATAAACACACCTCTCTTTAACCTCCAGCTTCACATAAGCATGAGCCAGTCCATTGCCCGTCTTACAAAGCAAAGAAAGCCCTTCCTTCATCATTTCCTCCGTGAGGGGGGTGGGCAGCCACTGCAGAAGGAAGTGGAGTAAGGCATCCCCTCCTGGCCAGCCCTGTCCCTCAGCCCCACGACCCCTCCCTCTCCCAGCTCTCACTTCCTCAGAGTATTCTTCTCCTTTCCTGTCATCTTCCCACTCCTCTGTCTCCTTTTCATCATCATCTTTTTCAGAATCATCCTGGTCTGGCTCAAAGTCATCCAGATCATCGTCATCTGACATCTTTTCTTCTGCTTGAAGATCAAACTCAGTCCTTGCCCTGAGAAAGAAGGCTCCCTCACCTCCAGTGGGGGGTGCTCCCCATCACTCCCACCTCCCACCCTCCTGACTCCCAACCTCCACTTCCTACTTCCCCCCTAGGACCCTCCCTCTTCAGGATGCCTTCCCACAGCTTCCTGTCCTTCCAGGTGACTCCAGCTGTATTCCAGTAGCCCAGTCTCCCTGCTTCCTGGGCTTCCCTCTACCCAGTTCCTCCCACCCACGTCTCTTAAGCCACCTTCTCCAATCTCCCCTACCAATTCTTTTTCTTCTCCTCCTTCTCCCTTCCATCCCTAACCCCTGTTCCACTTATTTCTCCTCTCACTGAGCCCTATTTCCCTGGCCCCTTTGGAACACCAGCCTGACCCACGGTCTCCAACCCTCTCACCCAGTCCCCCTTCACAACGAAAGGCAGGCTCTGGTTCTGCTCAACTAGAAGCAGTTGAGAAGAGGACCTTGGTCCTGAGAGGGATGGGATGTTTCGGAAGAGAGGCGAGGGGGAAGGGTAGTGTACTGCTGCTATGGCAACGGGAGTGGAGCCCTTGGCTACGACACTAGCGGCGGTTGAGAGAAGAGCCCGTACTAACTCCTCTAAGGCCAATCCGCTATGGACAGGGGTGGATCAGCAGTTGCCCGGTTACGAGGCCGATTTCCCAATCCCAGGAACCGGACAGAGAAGCTGAGATGGCTCCAGAGCGGTGATTAGTGAAGGACGTAAACCAAGGGGCTGGGCTCACAAGAGAGCGCGGGAGGGAGGCGGGGCTAGTCGTTGCACCTGCGAGGCCTTAAAGGGACCGGGTACTTTCAATGAAAAAGTGGCATGAATTCACAGGAAACCCATCCCCACAAGCAAAGGAAGCAGCAGTCGCAGGGGCAAGCAAGAAAGACCAAGATAAGGCTCGGCGCCTGTGGCTCAAGCGGCTAAGGCACCAGCCACATACACCTAAGGTCGTGGGTTCGAATCCCCAGCCCGGGCCCGCCAAACAACAATGATGGCTGCAACCAAAAAATGGCCGGGCGCTGTGGCGGGCGCCTGTAGTCCCAGCTACTTGGGAGGCTGAGGCAGGAGACTCGCTTGAGCCCAGGAGTTGGAG